GGACAGGTGGCTTGATAGGCCATCTATCAGTGGACCTGACACCAGAAGAGCTAAGAAAAATGGACAGCACAAAAACACATCAATAGCAATAGGGGGCGGGGGTCCATGAGGTTGGTTTGAGATATTATGGGGGTCCAGTACTCAAAAAAGGTTGAGAATCACTGCTGTAGATGACCACCTGAAAAATAGAGTCCACATAGCACAATCACATAATGCTAAAATAACACAATGTAACAAAAAAAAAAAGTTTAACTTAATGTTTTAATGGTTCTTTTTATTGTAAAATAGTTGCCAAAATTGTTTACATATCTTTCCTCACACTCTTTCAGCTGAAGTGTTGCACTGGAAATCTGAATGTGCCATAGTGGTTACAGCCTAATGAGATACAGCATTTTTCATAGCTAGCCCCATTCTCCCGTATATTAATTTGTTGCAATCAGAGAATAAAGCTCAAACTGTATCCATTCTGGCATGATTTATAAAGAAACAGTATGAATCAGAAATAGAGAAGGACGAACCCTTCACATAGGCTAAAACAATACAACCACATTTTATCGTAGTTCATAGACACTGATTTTCAAACAAAATGAACACCCCTTTGGTTATTAAATACATATTTTCAAAATACTCCCAATATTATTTTGTAGAATCAGTGCAAGGATACCAAGTACCAAGGATACCAATACAAAGAGGCAACAAAGGCTCAGATTCAGCGGCTGTGCCCTGAACTTACAGTACAAATGCAAAGTAAAGAACGAGGAAAGCACAGCGACAGAAGTGGACCACAGGGTCCTCAATGCCTGCAGCTCTGCTTTATCAAGTTGAGTTGTGTTATTGTTTTCTTACTTGAGAATGTGGGATTAGTAAAGTCTGTTTTTCTTTGTCCAATTGTGGCTACATATATTGCAACATTGTCCCATGTCAAAGTGCATTGCTCTGTCCTTCATCTTTTTCGCTGTGTCCACTGTTGTCATCAGGAATGGACTCATCATACAGAAAAGAGGCATCAGGGCTTCTCTTGCTAAGATAGCAAGATATAGACAGGTTAAAAGAAAGTATGGTTGTGAAATAACAATATTATGAATTAACAAACTATGTGGCCTCATGTTGGACCATGTTGTCCAGCTTACCTGCATCTTGCTGTAGATCCAGGGCAGAAGGCTGGTCACTCTGCTATATACTCCTGGTCTTTGTCTTTGTCCACATCCAGCTCCCCAACTCGTAATTCCAGCCAGATACCAGCGGTTATTATCCCCCTTGCACACCAGCGGACCACCACTGTCCCCCTGAGACCAAAGACAAGGACAGAGAGAAAGCAAATGGAACATGGACTTCAGATCATTGTGAACAAGCATGTATAACAATTATTAAAAACAGTAAATAGTATAAAAGTATAAGTATAAAATAAATTAATAGTTATTTTGAACAGTACTCATTTTCAGTCTACACTAGCAGTCAAACATTTTTGAACAGTAAGATTATTATTTTTTTTTAAGAATTCTCTTCTGCTCACCAAGCCTGCATTTATGTGATCCAAAATAGAGCAAAAGCAGTAATATTGAGAAATATATTTTTGTTGTTATTTAAAATAACTGCTTACTATTTGAGTACATTTTAAAATGTAATTTATTGCTGTGACCAAAGCAAAATTTTTAGCACCATTACTCAAGTCTTCAGTGTCACATGATCCTTCAGAAATCCTTCTAATATGCAGATTTTTTATAATTTATTATTATTGTTATTATTATTATTGTTATCAATATTTAAAATAGTTGAGTAAATTTTTTTCAGGATTCTTTGATGAATAGAAAGATTTTTCGGGAAATCAATTATAGAAATTAATACTTTTATTTAGCAAGGATGCTATAAATATATCAGAAATGATAAAGACATTTAGAATGTTACTAAAAATTTCTATTTAAGATAAACGCTGTTCTTCTGAACTTATCATCAAATAAACCTGGAAAATAATAATAATAATAATAAATGTTTTTTGAGCAGCAAATCAGAATATTCAAATGATTTTTGAAGGATCATGTGACTGGAGTAATGATGCTAAAAATTCAGCTTTGAAATCACAGGAATAAATTACATTTTAAAATATATTCAAATAGATAACAGTTATTTTAAATAGTACAAATATTTCAAAATTGTACTGTTTTTGCTGTACTTTGAATCAAATAAATGCAGGCTTAGTGATCAGAAGAGACTTCTTTAAAAAAACATTAAAACAATCTCACTGTTCAAAAACTTTTGACTGGTAGTGTATATTGCTAAAAAAAAATATCTATACAAGTTTATTTCCAAAACAAAAGTATTTTATATGAATTATTTTATATAAACAGTTTTTTAAACAATTATAACCAATTATTTCATAAAAATCCTCATGTCTGTTGATGAGTTGCACCACATGACATTTTGCAGTCTAAACTATATTTTAAAAGGTCACATTTAGAGACTTATTGGCATTGCTCCTCCTGTTGATATATTTTCCTGTTTTATGTTAGTTCCATCATATGGCAAAATATTTTTTTTTTACAAAAAATAATAAAAGATTACATAACTTCTCAAGTTTTTTTCTTTTGAATAATTAATGAGACTGAATAAAATGGGTGTAATGTCATTGACCCATTATAATTTTTATAGAAAGTAGTTCTTAAAGCAAATTTCATCATGCACTACATACTTGGTTGAATAAAAAAACAGTTGTAGCACTATGAACAACAGCATAAAGCATTTGCCCAAACCAGAATAAATCAATGTCATGAGACAAAGGAGCACTGGGCGAGACTTGGCCAGTGAATAATGTATTTGCCTGAGGTCACTTGTTCTCTTGTAGCTTAGGTAGACCCACCTGACAGGAGTCCCGGCCCCCATTCATATCACCGGCACATATCATATTCTTGGTGATGGCCCCACGGTACACCTGACTGCTGTTACACAGACGCGTGTTGATGATATTCACTGTCACTTCCATGAGGCTTGTAGAGGCACGGTCTGTGAGAGCAAAGGAAACGCTCACAGTCAAAGGTCAGCTAAAAGCTCCAAAGAAGACAATAGACACTGAAAGCTGTAACATGGCCAGATTTCTAAGATCAAATCCGCATTTTCAAACTGTAAAGTATGAATAAAAAATAAATAAATAAAATAAAAATAAAAGGTTTTAATTGTTCAATGCATTATTATTTTATAATAATATTTTAATAATAGTTCTTATATAAATAATAATATACATTGCATTTTTTTGCATAAAGAAAATATAGTAATTTGTTAGGAAGACTAAGATTTGTATTTATTTTTTTTTGTATTGTGGCATTATTGTTACGATTTACCACCCAATTTCTAATGACCGTAATGTGTTCAGATGCTTTACTTTTTAATTTACTGGTAATTCTTATTATTCTCATCAAAATTGTCCTATTTGGGGAAAAAAAAAATAATAATATATATACATATATATATATACAGTATATATTACAATATCAACATTATATAAAGGCAACACAATATTATTATAATATATACATACAGTATTTTACAATTTTAATAATTATTATATTATTAAGTTATTACATACATTATTAAAACATTATATATTGTTTCTCATTTTTATCTGTCTGTACCTGCTCCCTCTTGTGTTGTTCCAAAGCCAGATGTCCAGCACTCTGATCCATCAGAAAAGGTTTGGTCAAATGTAGGAAAGCAAACTGGATGCACAGTGCCTGGAATGAGAAGAGAAATGTTTCTATAGAATATTTGGAATATATATATAGAGTCATACACCATAAATGCTATATTTATGGTACTTTATGGGCGCTAAATGGTTTCACTGTAGAAAAAAAAATTTCATTTTAGGGGGAATTATTTCATCAAGAAAACCCAACTCACTGGAGAAGGTAACAGGACTACTGAGTTTCAGCAAGGCGACATCATAATCATTGTTGTTACGGTTGTAGTTCTCATTCACTATGATCTTCTTCACAAGGTAGGGTATCTGAAGGGCACTCTGGGAAATAGCCCCAGCATAGACACGCCAATTTCCAGAATTCCTCATTGAGCTGTGATCAACAACAACAAAAAAAAAACATGTTTATCTCAATAAATGTTATAATGGGAAAAAAATAATGATTAAAATAAGTTCTAAATACTTGCTGAAAATCAAAGCAACTAAAAATAATAAACATTTGCTATTGAACAAGTTAGTTCCTGTTGCTAAACTTCTAGAGCATTAGATTAGCAACACCAGTGTGTTCAGTTCCAAGGGATATGCACATGCAGGCTAAATTCAATGCTTAAAGGGGTCATGAACGGAGAAATCAAAATTCCCTCGATCTTTTGATATGTAAGAGGTCATTGTGCTTTAAAAAAACATCCTGTAAATTTCAGAAATCAAAACTTTATAATTAGTCTAAAAAAAGCTTATAGGTAGTAGAATGTGCCACTTTATGATGTAGTAGTGTGGCTAAACACCGCCTCCACAGAAGAAGATCAACGCCTGCTTCTACATCACTGCCTGTTTAGCCCCGCCCACCGATTCATGCATGTAGTTAAATGAAGACAGCGGCAAACGAAGGTCTATGCAGAAACCAAACGCTAAAATTTATTTGATGAATTTTATTTTTAATTAAGTGCCACGTCAGTAAGAACTTGGTCCTTTGTTCACTTCATTTTACCACGGATTCATTTCAGGATCAAACATAGGAGAGAAAATAGCCTATTAGGCCCACTTTTTTGTATGTAAACATTTTGATAACATTATAACTGGACCACAGAGAACAGTACAAAATAATAAAAAAGACAGTTCATGACCCCTTTAAAGTGTCCTTCAAATGAATAAACATGACTGTTAATTTGTGCTGAATGTAGTGAAGGGCGCTTTTGAAACCCTGCTTCATGAAGCTTTGAAACATTTGCAAATATTTTGTTTTGAATCAGATATTTGGAGCTTGTAACGAACTTGCCAAGTCATGTGACTTCAGCAAACGAGGCTTCGTTATGTCATACTGTTTTCGAACCCTGGTTTAAAAAATGTTCAAAGTAATGATGGTTCTGTGCTGGATGCCATTGATCTGAAACCATGAATGAAACCTTGAACCCTGGCTCATAGAAATGTGTACGTATTGCGAAAAATCATATGTATTTTACGAGGTGGCAAATTCAAAGGATTTCATACGAATGACCACCCCTAACCCTGCCCTAAACCTACCCCTAACAGAAAACGTACAAAATCCTACGAGTGAGGTCATACTAATTCATACAAATTAGCCACCTCGTAAAATACATACAAATTGGTCATGCGATAGCGTTGGAGTATCTGATGGTTTTCACTGATTTTGGATAAGTTTTATTGTGTAGGTTCATTGTTCAATGAATTTAATTTGAATACTTTTTCACATATATTACACAAAAGGAGAATTATATTTGATTGCTTCTAATTGACAGTTTCCCAAACACACACACAATTATATAAAACCTCTATGGTACTTAATTATTTTCAGATTACATTTAATTGATTACATGTTCCTCCCATCACCAGCCGAATGACTGAATACCAACCCTTGGAAGCAATGGGCAGCTGACACAACAAAGTCTGGAGAGACAAGTGATCCACCACAAACATGGCTTCCAGTGTAATGCAGGCTAACCTGCCAAGGCCACTGGCCAATCTGAGAGGTGCTGCCCCCTATGATCCTGGAGGCACTTTGCTGCTTGCCACAGTCTGAAAAAAAAGAAATAAAAAAAACTCTTAATTCCATTGTTCAACATGGGAAGAATCATCCAGTAATTCATCCACACAATGTCTCATTAACAAATATAGCTAATAAGGTTTACGCTGATGTATCACGTGTATCATTTAGTTATGCATCACAGTAATTAGACATAAACTGAGACTAAATATGACTGGTAGTTTAATAAAAAATAGATGTATTCCTACCTGTGCATTCAAGTGAGACTGCTTTCTCATCCTGACAGCCCAAACTGAACAAACAAACAAAAATCACAAAAATACATTATGTACTATTAAGGGGACTGTTATCTTGACAAAACAAAACATCTGCTCTGATATAATCTAGTCTTACCTGACATTGACCAGACCCTGTATTAGTTTGGCTGATCTCGGTCCTACAGTAAGGGCTACAGACATCTTGCTATCCACTGGATTTGATGCATAAGACCTAAGGCACAGAACCCCGAGGCATCAGTTATATTAATATAGTTGTTGTTGGGACAAGATTCATATTTGGTTATATATGGACCACTGAGTTCAGATCCATTAACGCATTAAGGTGATAGTTCACCCAAAAACGATAAATCTCTTATAATTTTTGCTCATATGGTTCCAAACCTGTACT